TCCCAGTTGTGGTTTGTATTTTCATTCTTTTAATAGTGTCTTTCATGGAGTGACTTTTTTAAAAATTGTGTTGAGATCCAATTTATTAATTTTTAAATATTTTTTATTTCAATTTCTTTTATACCATAAAAAACAACAAGACCCTGGCTTTTGACAGAAAGTGTATGAATATGGAAGATTTACTGCTGAGTGAAGCAAGCCAGGCTACGGACGGAGAGACATTGTATGTCTCCACTTAACATATACCAACTGTCCCCACTCTATAGCCGAAACTGAATGACTGGAGTATATAAAAACATAGAAAATAGTTATAAATACTAGATACAGTGTGGGAGAAGGGTGGGTGAAGGAGGAGACTCTGAGGAAGGATATTAAGGAGAAAAAAATATTTCACTTTTAGATTTGTATTTAAAAAGTCTTTGCTAACCCAAGGTTACAAAGACTATCTCATGTTTACTTCTCAATGTTTTTTAGTTTTACATTTTATATTTAGGTCTATGACTCACTTGGAGTTAATTTTTATATAAAATGTTATATAAGATGTGAAGTATGGGTCAACTTTCTTGCCTACTTGTATATATATTTATCTGTTATCTAGCTTATCTATCTATCTATATCTATCATGTATCTATCTATCTATCTGGTAGTCATCACATAGTTTGTGAACACTGCACATTATAAAGCAGTATAATTTCAAAAAAATTTTACACCAAAATAACCTCATACTTTACTTTATATTTCCAATTTTCAATATGGTGCTCTAGTCTATTCAGACAATTTGCTAAAAAGAGTATGCTTTCTCCAATCTACTGTATTTGTACCTTTGTCAGAAATCAATTGAGCATAAGATGTTTGGATTTATCTTTAGATTTTCCTGTTTTATTGATCTATGTTTCTGTCAATCCTACCACACTGTCCTAGTGTACCTTTGTAGTAAGTCTAGAAATCAGATCACATGCATTCTCCAACTTTGTTTTCCCTTAAAAAACATATTATTATTCCTTTGTTTCCCATAGAGAATCAACTTGTTAATGCCTGGAAATACATATACATTCTAGGTAGGATTTTGACTGGGATCAAGTTTTGTAGGCTTCTAGGTCACATTAAGGGAATTGACATATTAAGAATAATCAGTCTTTACATGCAAGAACATGATATGCCTTTCCACTTATTTAGGTATTTATGCCTTTGCTTGTGTGTGTGTACTTTAAGAAAATAAAAGAAGAAAAATTAGGCAAATAAGAAACTCACCACATAATGGTCTTCAAATTTTGACTCCCTCCTCAGTCTGCCCACTATTTTTTACCTTTCATAGTCTTCAGTTGTTCTTTTACTACCTCTGTGAATTTTAGTTGTAACCATTGAGAGAAAGAGCTTGTAGTGGACTTACCGCATCTTCTTCAGATTTGAAAATTAATTACCTTTGGTTTTGATGATTTAAACCCTTCTTTGGTGAACACACAGATCATGAAACACCCAGAGTGGTTTATCTGGTTATCAGAGCAGTTATTCTCATTTTGAATGAACTAATTCTGAGACAGTATCCTGAGGGTAGAGTGGTTAAATGTAAAGAGTATGCTCTCAATGTGAAAAGTTCAAACCCTTCATCTCAGGTAGACAGGAGCATAAGGGAGAGAGAGGGTGGAACTCAGGACCACTCTTTTTCTTTGTGTCCAGTAACTTTTATTTATAGTAGGAGTCTCTTTCTGTATTGATAGTGTCATGATGTGTAATTTAAAAATAAATGAGATGTGAAAATTGGTGTGACAGTATGCAGAATCACCAGGGTCTGTCTGGGAGCATTTCTTAGCAGGCATTGCCTCGCTGACAGCTAGCAGGAGTTAGTATGAATGCAGGATCTCACAATATTACCACTTGATAGCCCAATAGATAATATTTTTTCCTGTGTCCAAACACATCTCAGCTGATTGATACACTCCAGCACCTTCTAAACAGTCTTATCTCTCCTAAATCTCAAAGGAGCTTATGATCAAGCAAGTGTAAGTAACTTTATTTTTAATAGGAATGACAGTCCAATTTTCTATTTTTTTCTCTAAGAACTAAAAATTACTAAATGTACTCTTTCTTTTTTGGTTTGTTTTTAATTTTCCAGAGGGTGTGTGCAGTATCTCTCAGCCACTATTTCAGCCTCTCTCACTAAATCCATTCTTTGAAGCACAATATTAATTGACCTTTTTTTTTTTCTTATGGTCTATTTTTAGGTTATTTGTTATGTAGACACAAAATATATATGTAAATATATATGTAGTTCTTTTTCTGTTTTCTAGTTATATAATTTATGAATCTTTAAGGTGGTTGTGATTATAAATCACGATCACATTCTAATTATCCTCAGAATAATTCCTTCTAAGGCTGAATGCTGAAGAACAGGCCAGAGCATTGTCTAAAGTCATCCACAAAAGCGAACTTCACCCACATTTAACTAGCATACTTTAGGATTCTTAGGGACCCTTTAGAGCCAGTCACTGTGGCACAGCAGGAAAGCAGTACTCCATGGTGCAGAAGCTATATGGGAAATCCCAGGTCCTGGGTTAATGTCCTGGGGTTTCTTTGTGCATGCTGGGTGTTTGTTCCCTGTGGTGAAGCCAGGGGTGGGATCATGGCATGAAGACCCTGTAGGGCGTTACGTGTGTCTCGCTCATGAAAAAAAAAAAAGAAAAAAGAAAAAGAAAAAGAAAGCACATGTGTTTTTTGTGTGTGTGTGTCTATATATATATATACAGACATACATAGGAATTTGATTGTAAATTCAGAATTCCGACACTGACTTCTTTCTTTTATTTAAGATTATTTTATTTAATTTTATTTATTTACTATTTTTCTTTTTTTAAATTGACAGCGAGGAATAGAGAGAGAAAGCGCAAAAGCAAGAAAGCAAGCCGCCAGGTCCAGGACTCAACCTGCCACTGGCCATGTGGTAGTCCAGCTCCCTTAACTCCCATGCCACCTGCTGGCCCTGAATACATTGACTTCTGAATGAAGTCAAAATATGTATGTTTGTAAATCCAGGGAAAATATTAAGGATATTTATTTATTTATTTATTTTTACAGGAGGATTATACTTTCCCATGAAAACTGTTCAATGTTTATAGTAGATAATATCTTTTTTATTATTTTTCTAAGAGAGATATTTTTGCTATAGTGTGCTTGTGCTCACTTGAGAGACAGAGAGAACAGAGAGACAGGAAGTGAGAATTCATCCCCCAATGTCGGGGTCCAGCCTCAGCATGGGTGGGTTATCTCGACGAAGGCAGCGAAGGTGAACAGAAGACAAAGGCCTCAATGCCTTTTCATGCACGTCCTTTGCCGGACACCCCTCAGAGATCACTGCCAAGGCTGGACCCTGGCACCCCAAGGAGAATGGCCACACTGTAATCCCTTCTCCCTTCTCTCAGGATTTTTGGCATGCACACACAGGCATCCAGTGTGAGCTTCAAGCCTCCAGGTCTGAGTCTCGAATCACAGTTGGCCACGTCAGAGTCCAGTGACACAACCATTTCGTCATCTGCTGGTCCCATAGCAGATAATATCTCATGGGTTGTATTTTAAAATCACACAACCAAATTGAGGTGTATCATCTCTACAAAAGATGTATAAATCTCTTGGAAAAATCTCAAGACCTCATAGAAATTGAAGCATGTATTTTATACCTAAAACTAACCAGATATGTGTAGAAATCCAATAAACAAACCATATTGGATTGTCACTCATTCTCTCACTGTTGGTGCCCTCAGCACTGTGTTAGCCTCTTAGGTCCCAAAGATGATCAACACAGGGTGCTAGTCTTTTTTTAAAGCCATCATGTAGGGCATTGTGAACCTATTTTACAATAGAACTGTTAATTATCCGTTTCAAATGAATATTTGCTTCTTCACTTACTAATTCAAATGAAGGTGAGAGAGCAATTGCATTACGCCCTGCAGACCTCTAATGGATAAAATATGTCACTATATATGCAAATGCTTTATTCATAATTCATAGCTATTTGTAGTTTACAAATTACATTTGTGCCATAAATTGAATCCTCAGAATAATCTGTTTAGATCAGGCATGTAGTAAAAGCCCCATTCATAGTTAATGGAAATGAAGCAAAAATAATGTATGTAAATTTATAACCGAGAAAGAGAGTTGAGAAATGGTAAAGTTGGGACTCCAGGACAGTGCTCACTTTCTAACAACCCTCTGTTAATAAAAAACTGAGAACCCAGCTGACTTATCCAAAATCCTGCAATTAAAATTCTCATTATTATTGAGTTAATATTGTTTATATAGCTAGAAAGTTTACATAAGTCTTAATGGAAATGTCACCTCTGCAGGGAAACCCACTTTGATAAAGCTGATTAGGGTTCTTATTAATGAATTCTTACAAGTACTACAGTAATAAATGAACTACTTTGGAGCAAACTATTTCAATTTATATTCCCTATTAAACCATAAATTTCATGAGGCAAATTTTCTCCACTACACTATTTTTACTCTCCCTACAAACAGGTCTCTTTCCTATTCTTCAGATGTGTCAAGCCCATTCCTACCTCGGGGCCGTTGCGAATTGTTCTCTACTTGGGATGTTCTTCCACGAGTCAGTGGCTTGGACTCCTTAAGTGGCCTTAGCACAATGCTAACAAATAGACAGGCTTTTCTTCATTCCAGCCAAGTATTTCATAACTTCCATTATATCTTCATAGAATGTAGCATTGTTTGACTTTATTATGTTCATTTATATAACCTTGCTTATAAATTCCTTGAGCACAGGCATTTGATCTGTCTCATTTGCACTTTTATGCTAGCTCCTCAATGGTGCCGGTCGATCACACAGTAAATACTAATTCAATATTTATTGAATAAATGAATGAATGGAAGAATGAATGCATGAGATCTTAAGTGTGATTTGCTAAGTCAATATTTTTATTCATAGGTGTTTGCCTATTCCGCAAGTCTGTTTGATTACAAAATAACCATTTTTTTTCTCACATTCACAGGATTATACCTTAACAATGTACTTCCAGCAAGCCTGGAGAGATAAGAGGCTATCATATAACGTAATACCTTTAAACTTGACTCTGGACAACAGAGTGGCAGACCAGCTCTGGGTGCCTGATACCTACTTCCTGAATGATAAGAAGTCATTTGTACATGGAGTGACCGTCAAAAACCGCATGATCCGCCTGCATCCGGATGGCACGGTTCTTTATGGCCTCAGGTCTGTAGTGTCCATTTCAAAATTCAACCTTTCCTGAATGGGACGTTTATTGCTTCTTATCGGAAGCAAATAGTGTACTGTTTTCCTTACTCTGCCTTTATTCTGCCGAGAAACAGTTAACGTCCTACGCAATAGAAATCTGAGAGCTTAAGATAGCATGTTTACAAAGAGACTTAGCCCCAGCTTTGAATTATCTTCCAATATCGGCCGCTGATCCTAAAGCTGCTTTCTTTAAGGAGTAGGAGTAAACAATATCAAACTAGCTGAGACACAGGTTTTCTTTCAAGTAGAAAAAATTATAAATGCTGAATAATAAATTAGAGTAAAATGACAAATGTCAAGTGTCTGAATGTGGCAGATACTCTATTTTATTATTGCTCCTGAGCTCCCTAAACTGGGTCATGGTCCTGAGATGATGGGGAAACATATTGTGCCCTCTTACTCTCTAAGGAGCAATGAGACTTGCAAATAAATCAAGTAGTTATCTATGTTTATTAATAGTGAATTACTACTCCTAAATGAACCTCAACATCAGAAAATAGTTGAGATGCTCTGCTATTTGGGTGAGTACAATTTGTAAAAGAAGACAGTCTCTTCTTTTAGACTTTATTTTGTATTAAAGGTAATAAAAGCTTCCTGGGGGTGGGGAGGCATCTGTCTTACCATGAAAACCTTACACTATAAAAAATTTCTCTGCATTATAAAGAAAGAGATTCTAAATTCTGACATCTTCAGTTGTCTCTGGACTGTTGTTTTACCTGATCATAATATTCATGTTAATAATCATGGCATATTCATTCTTAAGCACTTAGTAAGGATCAGACATTGTCCTAAATGCTTTCTATACTTTATTATATATTCTTCTATTGTTGCCATTTCCAAATAAAGAAACAGAGGCTAATGCAATTTGCCCATGGTCACAAAGAAGGTCGTCTTTGGAGATGGGATTTGGACTCTGTTCCAAGTTTAGAGCTACAGTCTCAACCATAAGACATTAAACAGGGATGCCTCCATTGTCATATTTTTTTCTTATCTGCTCTATCTCATTATCATTTTCTGCTCTAAGCAGTGCTCCTGAGGGGTGCATTGGTTTAGAGTCATAAACTCCACTTCTTTGATGATCATATTTGTAGATAAAAAGGCATTTGACAACAAAGGGAAGGAGTCAAAAGGAGAGACAGAGAGGGAGCACATCTGTCTTCTGTGTGAGGTACTGGAGGTTTGGACTCAGGCAAGAAAGAAAAATAAGCTGATAAGCAATGTCTGAAACGTTTCCAAGGAAGTGTTGGACTTTCAAGAGCTCTGACACAGAGAATGGGACTGAGCAGAGACACATTGTGTTAACCTGATTACTTGGAATGAACTGCAAAACATGGTATCACAAAGATCTTGATGAGAGAGTAACCATGTGGGTAGTAGAGAACACTGGGGAAGAAAAGAGACTGTAGTTTATCCTACTTAAAAGTTAAACACAGAGGGAGGTAAGAATCCAGTAGAAGGCAAAAAGAAGCATAGAAATGATGTTACCCTTTCAGCAAGGAGTGAGGTGGAAGAGGACTGGGAAGTAGCAGTGCTAGCCAAGCAGCAGACTCAGGGCCATCAAATCATTTCAAATAAATAGCAGTGAAACAGACATTACTATGTTTTCTTCCTGTTTACCTGGGATACCCACCTTCAAGGTGGATAATATCATATTCTTCTTAATATACCCAGTACTGACAAAGCACCTGGAGTGTAAGTAGCTATTTAGTAAAGGTTAAGAATGAACTTCTGAATGCACATATGCCAAATTGAGTGAACTGGGGGGGAGGGGGGGATAAGTATATCTTTGGAATTGAGGGGAAAAAGAGAGGATCAATCTAAAAGCTAAAGTGGTTTCTTTATATCATTAACTCATTAATCAAAAAAGGTGATGACCATTCATTAGAATCATTAAGACCAACTCAATGCAGTTGTTGTGTCCTGAATTCATAGTGGTATAAAATCTTTTTTCTCCCATCTCCACTTCCAACAAGGGTTGTTGATAAAATGTGCAGATTCTTGGATACCTCTGCCATGCATATAATTAATATTTCCACACTGAGCAAGCTCATGAATTGTGATTCTCCATGGTGTTCTTAATTCTGAAGGTGAAATTATTAGGAAACTTTTTAAAGAAATATATAAATGGCCCAATCCAGTTTTTATGTGTAAATAGTAAAATAGTTTGTTTCTTAGCTGAAAATTTAATGCAAGCCAAATGTTATTTTTTCAACTCCAGGAGATTCATTTGAAATAGATTAAGTGAAAGGAATGTGGTCAAAATGACTACTGTCAGGGCTGACTCAGCAGTACTTAGCTTTTCCTCCTTTTTACCCACCCAGTCATTTTCTGTTGCTGACATTCAAGGAAGAAATCTATTTGTACTTATGTTCAATAATGACTACTTTGAAACCACACTTAAATAGTAATGCTATTAATATCAGTAGCTAGTACACATTTAAGAACTTAGCATGTACTTGTCACTATGCCATAACTTTGCATAAATTATCTCATTTCCTTTTTTTTTTTTTTTTTGAAAAAGAGATTTTTTACTAGAGATTTTTATGTGAGCCTGCCAAAGAAATAGAGATAGACTGAAAGCGAGAAAGCACCTACTGGGGGATGGCCATGCTGTAATCCCTTAGCTTCCATTTTCTTCATGGGATTTTGGGCATGCATACACAAGTGCCCAGAATGAGCTTTAAGCTTCCGGGTCCGGGACTCAAACTGTGGTCAATTATGTGGGAGTCCAACGACATAACCATTGCACCTTCAGCTGGTCCCAATATTGTCTCATTTAAAATTAACTTTTGCACTACAAAGTGGGTGCTATTACTTTCTCCTCCTTCTTTTCTTTTAAGAGAGATTTTTTTGTTACAGGGCACATGCACTTGACAGAGAGACAGAGTAAGAGAAAGTAAGAAATCACCCCCCAGGGGGCCACACCACAATCTCTTCTCTATTCTGCTCTTCTAGATAACAAGAGGTCTCTATGTCTTTGAAATAACTTTTTATTTATAAATTGTATTATGAAATTTTTCGTACAGACATGTTGAAAGAATACCACAATGAATATCTACATAATACAATTTATAAAAGAAAAATATTATTTCAAAGACATAGAGACCTCTTGTTATCTAGAAGATATTGCTCAATATTTAAAAGGTCAGCAATCAAGGAATGATATTTCTGGTTTTCTGAGGGCAGAGAATTAGTTATAGAACTACAAATATAGATAAGTTATACAGAATGTTTTTTTCAAGATTAAAATTGTAGTTTATGGCTGATGATTAAATTTTAAATTTTTAAATGTAGATTCTCACTCTCTTAGTCCATTGTGGCTGCTATAACAAAGTTCCATTAAACTTTGGGGACTTATAAACAAAAATTTATCCCTCACGATTTTGGAGGCTTGTAAGTCCACTGGAAAGGCAGCAACAGATGTGGTATCTCATGGCAATCTGCTTCCTGCCACCATGAGTGAAAAGGCGTCTCCTTTTTTTTTTTTTTTAAGACACTAGTCTCATTTTTTTTTTTAAGACACTACTCTTTTTTTAAGATACTAATCTCATTCATGGGGGCTTTGTCCCCAGGACCTTATCAACTCCTCAAATGCCCCTCCTCCTAATGCCATCACTTTGGTGACTAGTTTTAACTGATTAAATCTGGGGACACAAATATTTAGACCATGGCAATTGCTTTCACTTTGACAACGTAGTTGACACCTTGGTTATCCTAATTTGATCAAACTGGGATATTGAGATATTAACTATGTATTTTACTGTATTTTACTACAATGGTTAGCCATTTCTATCAAGACATATGGCCAGATGTGGGGAAGAATGTTTTCTTGGAAGTAACCCAGATATAGAAATGGACACAAATGACTTTTCAGTTGATGCAGAACTCCAATCAATTTATAAAGCAGATGTTTCAAACAGATGGAACAGTGTTCTATTTGACAATAACATTGGCCCATTCAGATCACTCTCAAAACACATCAGGAGAAACAACATAGAAAGTGGCATAGTGATTAAGGTGCTGAACTCCCACATGGCTGACTGCAGTTTGAGTCCTGATCTTGCACCTTGAAACTCACACCGGGAACATGTGCATGTGTGCCCAAAATCCCAAGAGGAGAATGGAGGAGAAGGGATTGCAGCATGGCCATCCCTGCAGGAGGTGATTTCTCACTTCCTATCTCTCTGTCTCAATATCTCTGGAAAGTGCATGCACCCTATAGCAAACAAAACAAAACAAAACAGGATTTCTATTCATGAACCCTGCTTAAAAAAACCTGCAAGTAAGGGACCAGCAGTTGGCATAATGGCTATGTCTCTGGACTCCCATGTAGCCAACCACAGTTCGAGTTCTGGACCTGGTGGCTTAAACTCATGCCAGGAGCATATGCGTGTGTGCCCAAGATCCTGAGAGAATAGAGGAGAAAGGATTGCAGCGTGACTATTCCCCCTGGGGGTGATTTCTCACTTGCTTTCTATCTCTCTGTCTCTCTCTGTCTTCCTGGTGAGTACATGTGCCCTACAGCCAAAACATCTCAAAAAAAAAAAAAAAGCTGCAAGTAAATCAGGTTTAATCAGCTATTTAAATGGCCACCGTAGAGAATGTATAGATATCATTCTGATTACTATTTACTAAATTATTTTATTTGTTAGATTTCAAAACTAATGAATAATTACTCTGGACAGGAGAATCAAGAAACCTGCATTCTAACCTGAAAATTAGTTAATCTTCTAATCAGCCATTTCAATTATTTCTAAACATTTCTTTTAGTTCCCCGAGTCTAGGGTCTTGTGATTTGGCTAATATATGGCCCATGGCCTTATGAGACTACCATCCTAATATGCATAGAGCAGTATTTAATGTTTTTCAGCACTTTGGTGGTTGCATTCATCTTCCTGAAAAAAAAAAATTCTGCTTCATTAAGAAAGCAAAAACACCATCACATTTAGATATGCAAA